AGACACGAGGGAAGCGAGGTCGATGCTGCTCTGCGCTGCGCCCACACAACAACACACGTCCTCGACGTAGGTAGGTAGTTAATGTAATGTACCTCACCTGCCTTACTTAGCCTACTGGGTACCTTCTTTGGTGACAAACATGGGGGCTGCGGCGGGCATGGACATCGGACGGGGACGTCGTCAGCTCCTTTTTCTTGGCCAGCTGGAACCTTCTCCCTCCCAGGCCTGCCTCACTGGCGTGGCTTCTCCGGCTGCTCGGTCCACAAGGTGTGGGCTGAAGGGGCCTGTGGTGGGCTGGTGGGGGCACAGGACCAGTTACCAGCCGCTAAAACCCCATCCATCGGTGCCAATTGAAGCCTGAGAGCAGGGGTTTCGCATTCGGGTACTCCAAGCAGCACAAGCAGCGTCCATATTTACTTCGTAGTGTCCGTACGATGATGATGGTGTACTGAGGGGCAACGCATGCATTTATGCTGTTCGTCACATATGTATGCCGCATGCGCCAGGCCGTCAGCAGGTCCCATTGCGATGTTATTCGGAGCCCCTTCGGCATTGCCATGTCAATTGCATGAAAGTCATTGTATAGTAATGAAACAGAAAGCACGCGAGCAAGGAGAAACCCTTGACGTGAGGCTCTTGGGTGCAATGGTTTGTTTGGTATCGCGGCCCAAGGAACGAAAGGAACGAATGAATGAAACATGTCACGCAGGTCAAAATAGACAAGTGACTCTCCCCCGCCAGGTGGCTTACCTACCTCGTACCTGGCCGGCAAATCATCGGAAACGAGGTAGATACCGGTAACTTGGAGGCCAGTAGGCAAGCAACCCGCCACCATGTGCCTGGCTTGGGCCTGGATCGTTAGGCCATAACGTGCCCCGCGTAGCCCCGCGATCAACTTGAGAGTGCTTTTGGTCGTCACAGGCAAGAGTGACTGACAGACGACATAGCTTCCCAGAATTTCGTCCTGTAAGAGCTGCCGAACTGCCACCGCAGTGAAAAGAAAAGAAGAAAAAATCACAAACAACATCGCCCCTCGCCGGTCACTCATCCGACCTTTTGCAACCACAGCCAGGGAAGGAGAAGCTCGAGTGCAAGTGAGTGCAAATGTTCTACTTACCCTTCTTACCTCTAATCCATCGCGTTCCGTTCCCTTGCAACCCTCTTTCTTGCCATCAGCTAACCTGTTGCTGGAGCCGTACAGGCAGGTGAAGTGTGCATACCGCTACTTTCTACCTCCGACCGACTTACTAGGTACGACGCCGCATCCTCGCAACTTCCTCCCCACGCGGGCTCCAACATTCCTCCTTCAGGCTACCCTTACGATCGCGCGCGATACCAACAAAGATGGCCGACCTCGCCAGTCGCATCACGGAGCCCCCTTCCGAGGGCGCGGCTGAGGATGCGCAGGTTCCCCAGGTCGACGGCAACCTTGAGACCCTAGGTGGATCTGGTCTGATTGAGAACACCTACGATGTCGACGTTAAGCTGGGCGACCTTCAGTCCGACCAGAACAGCACTCTCTATTCTGCTGCTACATTCAGCGACATGAACCTGTGAGTGGTCTAGTCCGGCCATTGGAAAGCACATCTAATCTCTGCATCTCCCAGGCCTGAGCCCATCCTTCGCGGTCTCCTTAGCCTCAATTACCAGAAGCCCTCCAAGATCCAGGAGAAGGCTCTTCCCCTGATGCTTGCCGACCCTCCCCGCAACATGATCGCCCAGTCGCAATCTGGAACGGGAAAGACCGCTGCCTTCGTCGTTACCACTCTGGCCCGTGTCGACTATACCCAGCTCGAGCAGCCCCAAGCTCTTATCCTCGCGCCCAGTCGTGAGCTTGCGCGTCAGATTGAAGGAGTCGTTGGCAAAATTGGTAGCTTCTGCGAGGGTCTTAGAGTGGCCGCAGCTCTTCCTGGCGCCCTCGAGCGCAACGCCCCTGTCAGAGCCAACGTCATCGTTGGCACTCCCGGTACTGTCATGGACATCGTCCGCAGACGCCAGCTGGACGTCTCGAAGCTTCGGCTCCTTGTTATTGACGAGGCCGATAACATGCTTGACCAGCAGGGCCTCGGTGACCAGTGTGTCCGAGTCAAAAAGTAGGGCTCACTTTCGAACCTCGCCATAACCTATCAGGCTAACACCAAATAGTATGCTCCCCCGCGATATCCAGATCCTGCTTTTCTCTGCCACCTTCCCGGATAAGGTTATGGGCTTTGCCGAGAAGTTTGCGCCCAAGGCCGATCAGATCCGTCTGAAGCACACAGAGCTCACCGTCAAGGGTATCTCTCAAATGTACATGGATTGCCCGACCGAGCAGGACAAGTACGAGGTCCTCGTCAAGCTTTACGGTCTCATGACTATTGGCTCCTCCGTCATCTTCGTCAAGGTATATTCGGAATCTTTCCACGTAATGGGGGAAGTTGTGACGCAAGCTAACAACCCGACTTAGACCCGCGAGAGCGCCGACGAGATCAAGCGACGAATGGAGGCCGATGGCCATCGTGTGTCGGCTCTTCACGGTGCCAAGGATGGCCCCGAACGTGACCGCCTACTGGAGGAATTCAGGTCCGGGCAGTCCAAGGTTCTTCTCACCACCAACGTGCTGGCACGAGGTATCGACGTGTCCAGCGTGTCAATGGTTATCAACTACGACATCCCTATGAAGGGACGTGGAGATTCGGAGCCCGACCCTGAGACGTACCTGCACCGTATCGGCCGCACTGGACGTTTCGGACGCATTGGTGTCAGCATTAGCTTTGTCTATGACAAGAAGAGCTTCTACGCCCTCAAGCAAATTGCGGATCTGTACGAGATCGACCTTGTGCAGCTTGACGCCAACGACTGGGACCAGACGGAGGAGGATGTGCAGAAAGTTATCAAGTCCAACCGTGCCAAGGCCGCATTCGCCCCAAGCGCCACCGATGCCAGCGTCAAGTCTTAGTATTAGTTTGTCGCCGCTTCCTTCGTCAACAGGGAAGAATACGTGCAAGGAGAAGTGGCTGTGGTGTAGTTGTTCAGACACATAAGATTCTATGGCCCGAGAGTTCCCACATTCGGATATGATGTGGATTTGGAGGTCCTCGAATGGGAACAGAAGTTTCTCAGTAGAGGCTACGATAAAACAAGATACCATCAAAAGAAGACAATGGAAATTCCTGAGCATTGAAGATGTTGGCTATTCCGCTGGTTTGACTTAGCCGGTACGGCTACTCAGGCAAATGTTTGGAATCTTCATACGGTATGAAAGCAGCTGAATTACCCACGGCGCATCATGCACTTAGGACAAGGGACGATGAGTCAGGAGATGCCGAGGCCATCTTTCTCGAAAGGACCAAGTACTGGCAAATTCGAAACACCCGGTGATAGGCAGAATTGGGTTGGGGGTAGCCACACTTTTCATGACGACTTCGGGTGCAGGATGTGCGTCTTTGCGAAGGCTACACCATCAGAGTCCGTGGGAAGCAGAAAGACGAGAGAGTGATGAGGTCTATATGTGACTAGCAAGTTGTGATGGTGCATCCACCCCCGGCGGCGGTTGCTATCGTTGGAGAAGCGTGTCAAGCTCAGTTGCGGCACCCATTCACGCGCAACTGTAATCGCCCGCGTCGCATGGTGGGTTGCTATCGTCAGAGAACTGCAGAATCAATCACATCCATCAATCTGGAAGTCACGATTTCCGAAACGGAGGAGGCAGTCACACCATGGAACGGCCGCCAGGAAACGAGTGGCCGGCGACAAGTCTGACGCTGGATGGCAGCCCTTACGTTGATTGGCCTGGGATGCCACAGATCGGCATCACGTGATGCGCCCGACTCTTTTGGCGCCGGGCTGGGGGCGGTTCGACGCGACCTCTTTGGTTCTCGTTCAACCTCCGCGCTTAAGGGGCAGACTGGGCGCCTAAAATAGGCAGTGTGGGATAACCTCAGCCACTTGACAGTGCATATACCCGTCTGACGTGTGCATATTGATTGGATGCTCGACCTTTATTTACCCCGGCATGAAGGCCATGCAGGAAGGGTTGCACTCTGGCCTGGACCGCCACACAACTCTGGATCTGAGATACAACTGCAAACCCCCCCGAAATAGCGACTCGCTCAGCCAACCAGCATCGATGACAGACGCCCGAAACTGGGCCGGGTGTCTCCCGGATTGTCTGCTCGTCGTCATTCCTGGAGATCTCGAGCAGCGGCTGGCGAGCATACCGGGCCGCTGCTGTACGCGACTGCAGGAACCGAACCCAGTCCTGCAGGTTGGCGGCATGGTGAGGCAGGGCATTGGACTGCTTACCTGTCGCCCACTTTCGTAGTAACGAGCGTTTGCTGTGCTCGAATGAAATCGGGCGGAGAAAAGAAGCGCGTCGGGCTGCCCAGCTCAAGTGAGCGGCAGCATCTAGGATGACGGAAGGGGGGGTACCAGCCTCTGTCCGTCCTCGTCTGCCCCTTCGCCCGCCGACATGTCCAGTTTCCTTCTCTTTTGGTGTGTCTCCATCAATGTATGAAGAGTTGCATTCCCACCGCTGAGCCTCAACAGCGTTCCTTTTAATTTTTTTTAGCTTCTTCTCAGCTTTCTCCTTTTGCATTCTGCATCTTGGCTGCGCTGCTCGGAATAGCCTCTTTCTTTTCTTGTCTTCGGTTAGATCTGTTCCGCTCAGCTTCCAACCCTCCGAAGCCCAAGGCATCGAGCGGTTCCTTGTGTTATTATACCACTACATTCTTGGGACGCAGGTCGTTTCTTAATAACCTAATAAGTATACTCTCTTTATAGGTTCGTGACCTCGACTCCCCGCCTGCTTACCAAAGGGGGATCCTAGTCCTGTTCTGTGTGTTCGACGTAGAGACACTGGGTTATATCGAGATCGCAAAACACTTACATCTCCAAAACTTAGTTTCTTGTTACCGCTGGACCGTATGAAGGATGGGACCTTCATCCAGGCAAGAAGAATTCCAAGCTACCCACCCTATCTAATGAGACTAATGTTTGGTTACTAGATGTCCTCCCGTACCATGGCCCTTAAGCCTCTTCTTTGGATACTCTCTCTCGTCCTATCGGCTTCCTTCACCACTGCAACGACGTTCAACCTGTCGAGCGAGATTACGAGATTCGTGCCATCATGTGCTCGCGAATGCTTTCGCTCTCACCTGAGCGCCAATTATGCACTCAGCACCTGTGGCAGCGCGCCCTCCTTGCAATGCCTCTGCGCCATTGTCGGCTTTTCTGGCCTCACTATTGGGGAGGGTGCAGTGCAATGTATCGTGGCGGAGAAGAGCATTGGGTTTTGTCGCGAAAGCGATGCGCCCCGTATGTCTATATACCCCTCCCACGCGAGAGCAGCAGCAACTAACCTCTGCCAGAAACCATCATCGACGCGGCATACCAAATGTGTGCGCACCAGCCGGGTGCTATCCAGCCTACGCACACAGCCATCATCGCGACCTTAATTCTGCCCACATCGGGAGGCATCATTGTTGTGCCCCCGAGAGCTACCACGCCACTTATACCCCCGACGTCGACGATCCACACGACCACTTCCCTCCCAACGACCCCCATCTCGGCAACAGGCACCCCATCCATCCCGCAGACGCTCACGACCCTCACCAGGTCAAATACCTCTCGTGTCTCCACAACGAGCAGCTTAATCACAACGCCTCCCTTGCCGCCATCGTCCACTACAACTCCATCCGCAACCGCGGCTCCGGTGCCAGGAGCTGAGGAAGCTAACTCCGGGCCCTCTAAGGGATTGGGCACGGGTCAAGTGGCAGGTCTGGCTGTTGGTCTTGCGGCTGCCCTCGGCCTCGCCATCCTCGCCATATGCCTTGCCCGTCGCAGGCGGCGAAAGAACTATCCAGACGTAAAGACGGGATTCTTCCCCGTCCGCGAGAAGGACTCGTGGGAATTCCACCCCCAAGAAGGCCCTGCAAATATCTTCCACATCTCTCCACCCGTCCACCACTCGCAGTCACCCTCACTATCGCCGCGTCCGCCTCCTGCGGCGCGCACCCGGGCGAGCGGCCGCTTGAGCTGGTGGCCTGGGGCGGTGGGGCTTGCGGTGTCACGACCCGAGAGCCCGCCCACCGCTCTCCGTCCCCCGCCTCCGCAACAAAACCGGCCTACATCGCGACTTCTCCCCGCAAAGCCTTCGCTTTCATCCCCCAAGCCGGTCCTCTCCCTCAAGATCCCGCAAATCAACCTCTCGTCCTCGTCGCCCCCTCGGCCGCAGGAGCAGAGAGGATCTCAGCCGACCAATTCCCAGATCTTCAAGACGGCCAAGCTCACGGCGCCGCCAAAGAGCCATTACAATGCCCGAGAGAGCACAATGACCGAGTTTGAAGAAGACGGCGCCATCACCTCGGCACGCTCTGCTCGCTCCAACAACATCTGGAGGCCGCCATCTGCAACGGTCGGAAGCAACCCCAAGTCGGCGACGTTCTACGTCGCCGACAAGAACGGCAACTGGGTGCTCGGAGACTCTAGGAGCGCCACCCACATGGCACAGATCGCCGAGCTCGACGCCTCCGGCGCGAGCGAGGGAGGAGGTGCCAGAGCGAAGCCCTCGTACGCCGAGTCCGCCATGCTCGCAGCCACGGCCACCACAGCAGGCATGGGCCACGGGGGTGGGAGCCCCGTCGTCCCCTCCGCCGCTCGCATGCCACCGCCCCCGCTCCTTCTGCCCGCGGCGGAGATCGTCCGTACCGGTGCTCTCGCGGCCCCGCCGGCGGCACACCAGTCGCGTTCTTCGAGCGTGTACTCTCAAGGCACCACGCGGCCCAACACGGGCATCCAGACCGGCGGTGCCCTCCAGACCGATGGTGCATCCCACCCGGTGCCGAGCATGTCCTTCTCTCACCCCGAGCCGCCGCGCCGTCGAAGCAACTCACTCGGTCGCCGTAGCTCCTCAAAAGCGAAATCCGGTGCGACCGGCGCTGTGACCGGAACCGCGGCCGGTGCCAGCACGGTCAACGCCCCGAAGCGCTCCGACAGCCACGACTCTCAGGCCTCCTCCACCACGATCGCCTCCTCCGTCGCGAGCGGCGATCCCGAGCCTGTCATCGAGCAGAGCAGCCTCTCCCCCGTCGTCGAGTCCCCGGCATCGAACGCATCCCCGAGCGGCCGCTCGCCGGTGTCCTACCCTCCGATCCCTGGGCGCACGAGCTCCAAGCCGCGCAACGACCACCTCCGCCTCCTGGCTCCTCCCACGCGAACTTACGGTGGATTCCCCCCGGGCCAACCCAGTCCTACCTTAGGCATGATGCAGCAGCAGCAGCAACAGCAGGCCCGGAATGGTCCGTACATGGCCAGCTACGACGTGCCTCGCAAACCCATCGCCAGGCCCCGTCCCGCCGGCGCCGACCCGAACAGAGTAGCCACCGGCTCGCCCTCGCTCCGCCTCGTGACTCCCTCCCCCCCTCCGCGGGCGGAAGGTCGACAGCAGGAGCGAAATCGGAACTCTGCATTGACGCAAAGGCCACCGCAAATGCGACCCCTTTATCCCCCGCCTCTCCAGCCTCAGCGCCCGCGGATCGAGAGCAGCAACTCACACCCGCAGCCCCAGACGGCGCAAATCCAGCAAGCGCCCCTGAACCGGGAACCTCAGTCAGCGACCGTACACAGGGCGCTCTGGGGGAATCCCCCTCCTCGTAGCCAGCCGCAGCAGCAGCAACAGGAGCAGCAGCAACAGGCCGTCTACTCTTCTCTTCCTTCTCAGCGGCAGCAGCAACAGCCCCGGCCTCAACCAAGCCAACAGTCGTTCTCGCAGCGCCAGCGCCGTCGCTCCCAGGAGAAAAGGCAATCCTTCCAGCCTACGACGCTTCCCGAACAGTCCCCGCCGCCGAAGCAACAGCTCCCCGCACGGCCGTCGCCCGGCTCGCCGTCCCCTCACCACGTCGCGACCCAGGCCCTACGACGCCCGGCGCCGACCTTCGCCTCGTCCCCGGCGTCGTCGTCGTCGCCATCGCCACCGACGACGGCGCCCCCGCCCCGCCCCGCGTCCCCGCCGGCAACGTCCCCCTCCGTCGCCACCCCCTCGACAACGTCCTCCCTGCTGTCCAAGCGCCTCGGCCTCGAGCGCGCCGCTGCCCTCGCCCTCCCGACGGCCGGCATTCGGCACAGCCCTAACTGGCGACCCTCCCGGCCGGGAGGTACCGACATGCTCCTCTCGCCCAACTCCTTCTTCCCGGCGCCCCCGGGGTTCCCGTCCCGCTCCGGCGCGAGAGAAGGGGACCTGCCCAGCACGCCGACCTGGCAGCCGAAGCTGACCCCGACGCGGCGCGGCGACGACTTGTTCCTGAACGTACAATGATGGGGTTCCCCCCTACGCACCAAGGGGGGTTGGTTTATGACAGACCCCCCTACCCCCCACGCGAGATCTACTTTTTATTTCCATTGCATTCTTTTTCCTGTTTATACATGACAAAGACGAAGGTCTTATATATACCCACACACACTTTCTCTCTACGAGACTCAGTTTGCATTTTTTTTTATCTTAGTGTATTTGTACCATTAATGCTTTTCCTTGCCAACACAAACACACACACTTTCACCAGATCTGATAATATGTTCAAAATGCACCAACGATGGTTTTATAGGCATAGATGAAGAGAGGGAGAGAAGAACAAGAACAAGAACAAGAATAAGCGAAGAGAAGCATGGCATCAAAGGAGTTGGTCTTCGAAAAGAATTCAAAGGGTTTCTCATTCTAGTCCTTGCCCGTCATGTTTGTATACTTTATTCCCTAGGAAGTTCATTCTTTTTCTGCAATAGAAGCCCACACTCACAAGACCATGCACGCTTGCACGTAGCAATGACTGCGGGACACTTTCCATTCCAGGATAGCAGCCATCCAGCCCCTGACGTCGTTCAAGTCTGACATTCATTCCTCCTTCACCGTCTGGCCCCGAAGACACTCTCGCTTATTATAGATATCAGGTGGAGCTCTTTGACGATGACCATTAAGTGAAAGTCTGTCATCCATGGAATTCATCTCAATAGATGAATGGCCACTCTCCTCGCTCGTGGCACTTCGATGATTCCGCCGCGAGCGAGAAGTGCGCTGGCTTGGTTGGCTGTTTCTTCCCACGAGATCTTTAGCATCACTGACAATGTCACTCACGATGTCGCTGATCTGGTCATCGAGGGCATCCAGCCCAGCATCTAACGCGGCTCGATTGAGATGCTGGTTAGCATCAATGAGTTTGTTCCTCTTTCTGATCTCGGTGAAACGCGACATGCTGCCCAGCTCGAGCACGTTGACTCGCCGTGTCTTGCTAGTGGGGTTCCCCACGATAAAAGGGCGCCATGGCTCTTCTTCGGCGATGACATCTTTATCGTCGACTGTACCGACCGGTAGTGAGTCGCGGCGTCTAATAGATTGTCTTCGAGCGGCAGTCCACTTGTCCATCTCTTCTGCTTTGCTCTCGGGAATAATTACAACCTCTTTGAAGCGAGCCAGAGCTAGCAACAGCATGACTGTCAAAAAGAACAAGATACCGGCAACCACTCCAGTAGCTGCCCTCTGACCCAGGTTCCTTTGCGCCATGCCGCCGAGTGCGGTGGCCCCAGCTGCAAAAATGAATCCTAGAGTATGGCAGACGGCGAACCCGGCGGTGACACGAGGGTAGGCTGAATAGTTCTTCTTTCTACGGGCGACGTCAGAGTTGCCTGGCAGACGCCCCATCATCCCAGGTTGAAGATCTGAAGTATCAAACGTTTCCATAATGAGTCCATTGCATTCCGAGATTGCCAGACATGAAAGAAAGCCAATCGCAGCAGCAACAATGGCAGGAGCACTAGGATGCATCGGTGGGCCTGTGGATACCAAGGTGTAGACGAGACCTGCCAGAGGAAGACCGATAGCGAACACGGAGCGGCGGAGGAGATGCGATGTCCATGTGATTTGCTTGTCGAACGTCAAGCGGCTGGTGTTGACTTGTGTGTGTCTTGCCCTGGAAAAATAGCTCGCCTTTTGGAAGGGTATTGCAATTACAGCCCCAAATGCCATCGCAGCGACCATGAGCCCGACGTATGGAGAACGCATTCGATAAAACCTCGAAGATAGTGAACCCAGCAAGACGATGACGAGAACAACTTGAGCGTATATCCAGCCGGAGTAAACCGCAATGATTGCGAATCCGGGCTGTCGTAGCATTTCGAAACAAAGAGCGACTCCATGATACAGCTCCTGTCCCCACCATCTTGGGCCGGTTTTGACACGGTGCATCATGATCTCACCCCGAGCAACGCGCCGAGTGATATCAGCACCGGTTCTGACTTCAACGACCGATCTTCTGAAGGCGGAGCGGCGTACTTCGGGACAAAGGGTGTTTAACAACAGGACCACAGCCACGAGGATGATGCTGATGTAGAACCCCCAGGCTGGTTGGAGCTGGTCAATCACCGCTGCGCCGATCAGGAATCCAAAGCCGAGAGAAGCAATGTAGCACCACGTCCAGATACCTAGCCAGACACCCATGCCACCGCCGTGTCTCCTTACATCGAAGTCATCGACAACTTCCTGGTGAGGATTGCTGCTCATTAGAGATGCACCGAAGAGGTCTGTGAGTATGGAATGGAAGTTCATGCTCGCGAAACCAAGGCAGACACCCATGAAACCACGGGTTGTCAGCAACACCATCCGCTATCCGGTGAGGTTGTAGAATCGCTGGGCACTGACAGCTAGGGCTTGTGGGAAGAGTAGCGGCATTGACAAGACCAGACCGGATGTGATGTATGGCTTGCGTCCATGCACGAGGGGAAGCGGCCAACAGAAAAATGTCGGGATAGCCATACCCAGAAAGCAGCCAACGTTTCCGTTGATGATTGAGTGACTCGTGTCGAGGATGTAGTACTGTAGTGACGGTACCAAGCCGGCGTAGATTCCGATGATTAGGCCGATGAGTGCTGTGCTGATGCATGCCACCGCCGCGATCGCTCTCTTCCGGACCGGAGACCAGTCTCGGGCAATCTGTTGGCGTCGTTTCGACTTGGGCAGACTGAAAGCTTGTACGCCGCGCAGGCTGACATGGGACTTTCCTCGCAGACTGATGCCACGGCTGTTATGAATTGGACGACCTGCCATATCTCTTTCTGGAAGAGCATCTTCGCCGGTATTCCGAGATATAAAGGGAACTCGCTTGGTGCTCGCTCTAGGACGAGCTGGTCCATTACTCTCGTTCTGAGTCTGAAATTGATTCGAATAGTCGATGAGGGAGGATTCGCTAGACCCATCCATACTGGATACATCTGAGTCTCGAGGAAGTGGTCTACCTTTTGGATTCGATATGGTACGCTTCTTTTTCATCAGACTTTTGCTCTTTTTCCTGCTTGAGATTCTCTCTGGTATAGGACCAGCTTGACGGGAACGAGACTTTCGTCTGCGTTGAATTTTCCTGGTGACCTGATGGGCTTTGGTATTCCGCCCAAGAATATTCTCAAGCTCTGTTGTCTGTGGAGTCAGAGAAATGTTTCTGTACAGTTCGTCCACACCATGCACAGTGGGCCGAGCAGTATTTGGGAAAGTGGCAGCACGTCTTTGAGGTTGTTGGTTTGGCGCCTTGCTTTCATTCAAATCGATGTCCGAGAATTGCGGAGTTTCGTCAAATGGAATCGCCGGCGATACCACCCCATTCGAGGTATAGCAAGGGGATTGCTCGAGATTTGGAGCCCTTGCTTCTTCATGATCCGCAACCCGTGATGCTAACGACAACGCCTCATTCAGCAAACGCTCTAGCTCTCCAAAAGTGCTTTGGAAAATACCAGGCTCCACATCTGAAGGCGGTAGGGTTGTTTGCCGACTTATCTTGGGAGGGGATGGGTCATCCCATAGAGAGTCCCTCAGTGCAGCGTACGATGGGCGCGTCGTTTTGGATGGCCTTTTTGTCAACTGAGTAGTATGTGCATTTGAATTCTTCACTAGATCCCGGAGCCACTGTGCGGTGCGTTTATAGTCGATAGTGCTTTCTCTGGAGCGCGGTGTAGTGGGTGATTGTGCCTCGTCGACCTTGGCAGGCTCATCATTCGCCGATTTGTCTGAACCAATGGCAAAGTACTTCTCTCGATCCTTCTCGGTGTTGGTTTTAGACTCGTCACTGAAAGCTCGTACCTTGGATACCGACTGGTGTCCTGCGTGGCGGTTCAATTGGGGTGGTTCTTGAGTAAACGGTCGTACTTTAGAGACTGGGATGTTCGCAGGTCCTTCATCCGTGTTGTTTAAAACTGGCGCTTCAACAGTGCTATTGTCGGAGAGCAGATGTTCCTTGGCCGGATCGAAAGGCCGCACCTTGGAGGTTGCAAGAGGATATTGGGGTTCTTGATCCACGATGGGGTAATGAAAGGTGGGTAGATTGAATGCTGGCCGCACCTTTATGGCATGACTGTGACCGCCGTGCCTTGGAAGGGTGATGTTGACAGTAGAAAGACATAGGTCATCGCCCGTCATTGCTCGCCGAACTGTGGCCTGGATGACTTCTGCCTCCGAGGAAACAGGAGATGGTGAGGAAGAGCATACGAGTTCATCGGGTTGCTGAGCGACTGGTTGTCCAGGAACACCAGTGTCGCAAAAGTCAGCACCTTTGAGAAGACCGCGGTGGTGGACTTTGATATGCGACTGGTCTGGGTGTATAAGGGGATCAACGCAGACAGGCTCCCGCTGAAACGACGGGTCGGTGTTAGGTGTGGAATCCATAAGTTGTGTGCTACCAAACTGGGGAGAGCTGCCCTGCATTTGAGAGTGCGGGTGCTTCCTCGATGGAATCGCAATCTTCAAATTGTTTTCGTAGCCAACTATTTCTTTCTGTTCGCCCTTGAGAAGATTGTTGCTAGCTTGACGGCTGAGAATAGGAGGCACAGGCAGGTCTCTCTCAATCATCATTGGGCGCCCTGAAGAGGTTTTGAGAAGCGCATGACGAAAGACACCGCTTCTGGTCGAGGAAATGCTGGAGGCAACACCCTTCCCCGGTTTGTTTAACGATAGGTCAGCCATTGAAGGTCTGAGACTGGGTGATGGGGTATCTTCGAATTCGTCAGTGGCTTTGAACTGCTCTTGAACAATATTGTCAACAGCTTTGGTTGGGTAAAAGAAGTTTGGAATCATCGCTGGTGTCTCCGCGGTGGGCTGTGAACTCTGGGCGAGATTTGTCTGAGAGGGGCAGCAAACCCCAAGACGAACGGTAGTCGGCAGCGAGTCGGAAGAGCGTGATGTCCGTCTACGGGGATGTCCTTTGCCAAGTTTGTCTGCCGAGCTGTATCGTCGTGAGATTGTGTGCTTGTAGGCTGAAGTACTTGGATCTGTAGGGCGCTGAACTTCGGTCGGGGGTGTCAAGGACCGAGTCGTTCTAGCCTGAGACATGGGGTTCAATATAGAGACTGCATTGAATGATGAAAGAGAGCGGTGATGATAAAGATATCGGCGTGAGGGTATAGGAGGGTTCCCGTAGGGTGTTTGAGGAACTGTCCGGGGCAGGCAGACCACGGTCGTGTTGAAGGGGCGAAGTTATTTACTACGTTGCTAGGTGAAAATGTATAGAAGGAACCTCGGCGACATGTGTGCCTTCCCCACGTAGCATTTGACTTGGTAGAGATCTTTCTATAGAGAAACACGATGCGGCAGAAGGTAAGTGGCGCCTTCCGGTTGAATTTTGGACTCAGATTCAGCTTGGTTCTGCGAAATAAACAGCGACCAGCTGCGTTCATGTATGAAGGGACATAGCAAGGTAAATCTGCTTCCCTGAAACCTCCTTTCTATTGGAAGCACAAGCTCGCTCGGCAGTTTTCCCCGTCCACTGCCACATCCAAATGTAAGACTCTGAAGAACTTTCATTCTCGCACCGGTTTGAATAACTCTTGACCATCAGACCTGGCCGAGGTTACTCGGGGACTCTCTTGCAAGGGAGTAAAGCGAGAAGGTGATCACCAGACATATATTGGGGTCATGGGGGGATTCTGGCTTGGACACGGAACTCTCCGGGTACCATCCGGCCGATGGTATCAAATATGCATGGGCATGAGGCCGGTTTGGTGATCTCTGTACAGGCAAATGAGATACGTGAGGGGTAGGACAAGAGGTGGTGAACTGGATACATGCCACTGCGCGCTTGAATGAATGATATCGTGCTCGTTACGAAACTTTGAAACAAGTCGTATGGTGCCGTCGAATGACCCATTCGGCCAACGCCCTCCTCCGCTAGAGGCTTCATGGAGGCCTAGCGATTGCTGGAAGAGTTGGTGTCCGAACAGGAACCGCAGACTATGATATGTAGGTAGTTGGTTCCAAAAATACAAAAGCTGAGAGGGAGTGGGGAAGTCTTCAGCAGCAAGAGGCGCAGGAATGATAAATGATCACCGCCCACCCCACTCCCGGGACCTACTACCCCAGGTCAAGCGCGGGGGCAGCCACCCCCTCACGGGCAGCCGAGACGGGGAAAACGTGCGCGACGTGCCTCGGCAACTCGGTCGGTGCCGTCAGCGACCGCCAGCGAAACCGCCAGCAGGGCAACGGCAAAACTCACCGTCGCAACATCGCACTCGCAAAAGCCGTCGTCTGTGATTCGAGCCGCCATCATCCCAAGACATCGAAAGACTCCTCCCCTCGACGGCACGGCAATCACAAGCATCCCAACCACTTACCATGGCAACCTTCAAGGATTACGCCTACACCCACTTCCTCGTCACCTCGCCGGCCCCCTTCGTCGTCCACGTCCAGATCAACCGCCCGCAGAAGCTCAACGCCTTCTCGGAGCCCGTCTGGCGGGAGTTCGGCGCCGTCTTCGACCGCCTGAGTCACGACCCGGACGTCCGCGCCATCGTCCTCTCCGCCGTCGGCGACCGTGCCTTCTCCGCCGGCCTCGACGTCCAGGACGCCAGCAACAGCCCGCTCGGGTCGGGGCTCGGCAGCGACCCCTCGCGGTACGCTACAGCCCTACGCCGGCACATTGTCGAGTTCCAGGAAGCGATTGCCGCGGCGGAGAAGTGTGAGAAGCGTACGTCGTGCTCCCCAAGTCTCCTCAAGCCTCACCCCGTAACCCCCCGTAACCCCCCGCCTCGCCTGAATCTTACAATAACGAGGACACATTATGATGATGATGATGATGATGGAATATGCGAGCTTACACGGGAAACCCAGCTGTGATCTGCGTCCTCCACGGCATCTCCATCGGTATCGCCATTGACATCTCGTGCTGCGCCGATGTGCGCATCTGCGCGCGCAACACGCGATTCGCCGTCAAGGAGATCGACATCGGCATCGCCGCCGACCTGGGCACGCTCAGCCGGTTGCCCAAGCTCGTGGGGAGCACTTCGTGGGTCAAGGACGTCTGCCTGTCGGCGCGCGACTTCTCCGCCGACGAGGCGCTGTCCGTCGGCTTCGTCAGCCGGGTCTTTGAGTCCAAGGAGGCGGCCGTCGAGGCTGGGCTGAAGCTCGCGGGCTTCATTGCAGGGAAGAGCCCCGTGGCGGTGCAGGGGACCAAGGAGCTGTTGAACCATGCGAGGGATCACTCGGTCGAGGAGAGTAAGTTCTAATTTGCCCCGAGTTTGTTTCCGAGTCTAGGACATTTTCTTGTCTTTTTTCATCGGTGATACTAATCTGCCTGGTTTCTGAAACTGTGCTAATGTTCTACCAAGACTTGCGCTACACCACTGTTTGGAACTCGGCCATGTTGCAGTCCAGTGATTTCCAGACTGCCCTGATGTCTGGTTTGTCCAAAACGAAGCCCACATTTGAGAAGCTCTGACGTACACGTCTATGAAGTCTTCATTACGGCAGGTCATCTATACCAGCCTTATTTGGACATGGTGGGTGGGCGTGAGCTATGCGCTCCCAGGGCCTATGACCTCTAAGCCATCCTTGTGCTCTTACTAGGTCATTATAGAGGAGATATGATCCCCTTGAATGCACAATAGAGTGCGATCGCGCCATGATGCCAAGATAACATCGTGTAGAGTTGCATGGTCATGGTGTGGTTGGCACGGCCGCGTCACATGGCAACGAATAGTAAAGACAAAGGAAGGGTCGCAGCAGATTAGAGTAAGCGGGAGCGTCCGAAGGTTATGCGTAAAAGTTAATAAAAAACGAAAAAGTGTATAAAAAAAGGATATCACGGATCGGCGTTTTTGTCGGTTAATCAGAGTCTGAACTCTCGTCGGGCTGCTGCGTCTCCTTCAACCGCTGCAAGTAAAGTTCGGTTAGCGTGCATGTCCCCAGTGCCCAAGTGATTCGCAAAAGGTAAGAAGGAAACCAACCTCGTCGAGCTGTCTCTTGAGGGCGGCGACCATGTTCTCCTTGACGACGACGTGCTGGTCGTCGAGGTCCTCGATGATGTAGTCGTGGTTATTGGAGTCGATGTTGACGATTATGGACTTGATGGAGGGGTCGCACTCGATGAGTACTCCTAGGAAGGCGGGGCGTAAACGTCAGCAGGCTGGGGATATCTGGGCAAGGTTGGCAGGCGGACATGCACTCGAGCATGCAGAGGCGGTGGGTGGTGGGGAAGCGTACCTCTGATAGCGCGCGGCATGATGAATGTTGACGAGCGAGCGCAGTGAAACTGTCCGCAGGTGATTTGTGTAACGAGCTGTAGACCAATTTGGTAGCTGATAATCTGGACACTGGTGGCGGTCGCGTGCGAAAGCGAGTGCTGTGAGGTGCGTGCTGGGGATCGAGAGTGTCGTGACGATTACCTAGGTAGGTAGAGTGGTTGCAGAGTGGATTCCCAAGCTGGAGCTTGTCAGGGTGCAGCAGGGGAGGGAGGTGGTTGAGGAGCCTGAGGCAGAGAGGAGGAATGCAAGGCAGAGCAAGACATATGGTTGGCCGGCCTCACGGACTGTTGCAGCCCCACCGGCTTTCCAATTGATCCTGATGCGTCAAGGCCAATTTCCAGCACCCGGTCGGATCGTCAGGGAGGACCTCTCCAGTCCCAGTCTTCTTATGTAGCTTGTCTCGGGATATGGCCAATTTCCAGAACCAATGGCTCTGATCAGCCCGCCAGTGGCAGGCAAGTCAAGTCAAGTCAGTCTGGCTGGTGGTGTTGAATTTGGCTGGGCATGGAGCTCGGCGTGCGTTACGAGCGGTTGACAACAAACGGCGAACGCAAGGTCGTCTTTCTTTGCGTCGCGACGAGAGTAAAACAGATGCCTGCTCATGTCCCATTCGACCCGGTAGCAAAGGCGTCGGTTGCATTCTTGGGGAAAATGCCGAGGCAGAAGCTACAATGAGGGGTTTATGCAGAACACGCGGGCAGGAGGAGAACGGCATAACGGCTGCTGGGCTGAGGCATCGTCTACGTGTCTGCGTGTGATATATTTCTTTTCAGGTCTGGCGGTGGCCGTCGCTTTCATGCCATGTGTGAGGTACGTACGGATAGGATAGGTAGGTAGCCTTGGAACGATGTGAGACGTTGAGTTGGGGAAGCCAAGTCCAGCGGCCTCCGGTGGGTGGGGTACTTTACAGAGCCGCCGTGCATGACAGTGGGAGCAGGTCGTCTTTGCCCCGTCCAGGATGACTGAGGTCTTGGTATTTTGTGTAGTGTCCGAAGTACAAGCTTTTTGATTCCTCTTTTTTGTCTCCCTCTTCTCTTCAGAAGCAAGTGGTTCTTAGTCACCGTTTTAAGCAGTTCATCCCTGACTAATATATTCAGGTACCAAGGAAACGTCGACGCTGCTAAACACGACACAGGCTCACTTTAGCTATGACGTTGGGTCCCCCACTCGGCCAAAAATAAATGAAAAATCGAAAAACATCAAGGCCGTGAATGGCGCCCGTGGATTGGCAGCGCCCGCCCAGGGATGTTCTCTTGTTTCGACTGGGCCCGTTTAAGTTGACGGGGCCATCGTCGACATTGTCGCAAACCCCCGTCTCGCAGCGTTGCCCAGAGGGGGGCGGGGCGAACCACATTGCTTGCAGTCGCCCGGTGGAAACAGGGTCTAAATCACACTGTTGGCTACGTTTGTGCGTGCGCAGCAGATTCCCTGACAAATGAACAAGAGCTTCTTCTCTTGGTGCAGCCTAGTATCCGTAGTAGGTACCGACCCTTTGCTTTTCGTCTGATGTCCATCCCTCGGCTCGCTCTTAATCAGCCCTGCCCTGCCTACAGCAATAATACTTCGCAATCGCTCGCGCTCACGGAGGGCCGTCCGCATTCGCACGTACTTCCCGAGGTCGTCGGTCAGTTCCTCTTCCGCCCTTGGCTCCCTGTCGTACCGCCCGTCAATCTATCCATGTGAGCTTCATCCAAGGTTTGATTCCCTGACCACGACCGGTCAATAATAATATTAGTTTCTTCTCGTGGACTAGCGGACACGATCATTCAAATATCCATAACCTCTCTGCCTAGTCAACCTTGTCTCGCCCTGCTGGCATTCCCGTTTTGTCCAACCCAACCAACCCCGACCTTTTTCAGGTTCACCACGGATACAGATAATACCTCCCTGCCAGCCCCGGTCCCTCACTTCGAGTAGGTAATTTACATGGTTCCATCTCTCGGCTTCTTCCTTCCAACCCCTGCTTGCTGGAATTCCACTTTCGAAACTTCCTCCACTATTGATTGATCAAGCCGTGTTTGGCATTCGCAACCAAATATCCAATTATCTCCCCGCCGCTATTTCTGCTCCCCAAACCCTCCTGGCTGCTCTTTCTCTCCCTCTTTTCGTCTCTCTTTCTTTCTTTTATCTCTCATTCTCTGTCTCGCTCCTCTCCCCTCCCCTCCCTTGGACGTCAAACACCAACCAGGTCGGCTTTGCGATCTGCGTTCCCCCGACCTTCGATTAGGATCAAGGGGGGAAAAAACAACTAGACCTGGTTTACCCACAGCGAGTGGCAATACGAATCTCCCGCCATCGCCCGCAAGCTCCCTCCTTGCTCGCAGAGCCAAAACTCTTGCCGAACCCGAATGTTTCCCCACCACCTCGTCACTCATCCGTCCATTCCGTCTCCTCTGGCCCCCGTTTAAGCCGCTCCACCGCGGCATCACAGCTATCGAAGCTTGCTTGCTGGATCCAGCCGACACTAGCGAATTCCGAGCATCTGAGCACACGCGATGATGACGTGAAAGACCATCAACGGCTTGCCCTTGCATCACCACCGCTGCCTCTACCCGTCACCTATTTCGCCCTCTGCGCCTTTGTAACACCGTCCATCCAAATCCTGGACCTCTTCCCTCCCTTTCATCCCAAGAATAGACTCCAATCCTCAGGTCTATCTATCTGAGAAACCCAACAAAGCCACCATTAGGCCACGCGTACTTGAACCCGCCATCGCGGTGCTACGAATAAGACACCTTTAGTTGCCAGTCGTTTTCTCCTACCAGGCCAGCTTCTCTCGTTCAACCTACCTCCCACCGCCTGTCGCTCATCATGTCTTCCTTCGACGGCTCTCTCGGCCACTCAAATAGCTCGCTCTCATTCTCCGATACGCCCTACACCTGGATACTTACACCACTCGTCGTCTTCCTCGCCATTGGCATACTTGGCACACTCATTCAGATCCAACGTCGCCGACGTCTCCGCAAGCTTGGCATTCAGCGCCCTTGGCCCCGCTCCGACCTGGAAGCGAATCGTCCGAGAGCGAGAGGTCAACGGACATCACGAAACGGCCGTTGGGCCTGGACCACACGCACCGATGAAGGTCTCGACGAGTTTGGCGAAGCTCCTCCCGCTTACGAACGCAAAGCAAAGCCGGGACAGTCTCTGCCCCGTGACGGCAGCTTCGAGATGGCCCATGTCGAGCACACCGCGACCGGTGCCATCCCTCCACCCCCACCCATCGGCGGCACAGCAGCCGGCGACCGGGGCTCCATGCCGCCCGATTATGACACTGCCACAGGCTCGACATCGTCGACATCCCCACCCGTCGTTACAAACCCCCCTCCAGCTATGACGAGAAATTAAACCAAAAACACATCACATCATTGGCAACCCTGAATTCTCAATTTTTCTATTTTCTTTGTTCACCGGCGTTACGACGAGTCACCGAAAGGGATGGCGTTCAAGGGGGTAAAGCACAGCAATGATACCATATTTCAGCTGGCAATGGGCTTTTTTTTTTTCTTCCCTTTCCTCTTTTACACAGCATAAAGCGGGAAGGCTACGTATAGCACTGCATTAGCATATGAGAAAATCGAGACAGAGCCCTCGAGCGGATGGGTGGGGGATGGGATGAGTATTGGGACGGGCTGGCCTGTTGGGGAGGTCAAGAAAGACGGAATCCACGAAGGGACATCAGTAAGACGCATGACCGACAAAACTCACAGATATCAATGCTGAATGTCTGCATGTCCACGTCGATTATAGCCGCTGTAGCATCCATATTTGATACTCAATCCAAAAGAAAAGGAATTTCAAAAGGGGATTTATCAAGAGTTTGCCAAGTCCTGCCCGCATATTTGGTCCTTGTAAGTTTCTGGGCCAGGAGTCTCATACTTCCTCGACGACCCGCTTGGGTTGCTGTTGAGTGTGGGAGAGCTTGTCATCCAAGTCTTGCTGTCCTGAATGGAGCTTGCTGACCCAACAGGTCGAGATGGTGCTTGGAAACATCATGAGAGCAGTCTTGCAAATACTACTTGTGTGTGACACTAAGCTGGTTGCCTGCGTGCTTGTCTTATAATGGCGGTTTGGAGCCGGCAGTGTTTACAGTCACTCACATATCAGAAGCCTTTTCATTGTCAATCGCACCGTATCCCACGCGGCAGCAATCTGGAGCCTCTCGGCCCCGTCCTAGTAGTGGAATTGCAGCAGAGGTCATTCGTTTTACCAAGAGCTTGGACCGGGCGAGCACATGTCAGATCAGACAAACTTGTTCCATCGGTACTGAGCCCCACGGTAGCAACCCCAGACATGTAAGTAAGATCAAAGATGAGATATAACTTGAAAACCTGCATAAGTCTCTCCATTTACAAGAAAATGTGGAGTGGCCCATCACAGATCTCACCCTAGGGGGTAATACCTATTGGTGGACGTCGATGACAGCAACACCGCCCAGAAGTTCAAAGGATTCGTCCCCAAGGCTGGGAGCTACATCTCTTGTGCGCATGCCGGGGACATTCGATCGGCTCGATATTGGCAAAAAGTGAGAGTACTCAGGCCAGAACCGAACAATCGGCCCCAGCGACACCACTACAGCCCATGGTTTGCTGAGGTACCATCACGCCTAGTGGGTCGTTCTCATGTTGGTGATATCTCCTTAAACTCATTGAACTATCAAGTACCTCTGGCGGTCATCTCTTTTTTGTGCTGTATCTGGCGGCAAGATGAGGTAGGTACCTAGATGCGGCACGTGAGTGCGGGCGGAGCAGGGCAGGACGAGATGAAAATGTGGTTGAGATGGCAGGGGCGAGGGGACACGTCAAATAGGCGGACGCTTTAGTATAGGTAGCCCAAGTGCTCAAGACATTAAACCTTGGCAACATCCCTCAAGATCCGCGTCGCGACAGAAAAGTCTCTCTCGACATCGACTTTCCAACTCCCTACCGCAACCCTCACAGCCTTCCTTCCCTTCCAGCTCGTCCCGCTGACGTACATCTCCCTCGTCGCGTTGATCCGCTCAACCAGCTCCTCGTTTGCCTTCGCATCCCGCGCACGAAAGAGGACGACCATGTGCGTCTCCTCCAGGCCCCAGTCCCCCTCGGGGAGCAGCTCGTACGCCTCCGACTCGCGGATCCACTGCGCCAGCCGGCGCGCAAGGAGGACCATCCTCCCCAGGATCGCCGCGAGGCCGGCGCGCCCTTCAGAGCGCATCACCGCGTAGGCGGGGAGGGCCCGGAAGCGGCGCGAGTTTTCGAGGCCGATGTTGAGGGGGGATGGGATTAGCGAGGGGCCCGAGGAGAGGTACGCCGCGTTGGGGTTCGTGAAGACGGACGTCAGGGTCGAGAGGGAGCGCGTGAAGAACATGCCGCAGTCGTAGGGCTATGACATCGCGTTGTCAGCGTTTCCCACGCAAATAGGAATTCATCTCATCGGCACAGGAGGTTGCCTGTCCTGAACACCTAGACGTACCACGTTCAGGAGCTTGTGTCCGTCGACAGTGATACTGTCCGCAAGCTCCAATCCCGACGCCATGTCTCTGATCCTCTCAAACTCGGGTATCGGCTCCAGGGCCCTCGCAAAGATGCCAAAGGCTGGCCTCACTCGTCAATCACTAGAACACTCCCGGAGGAACATGGCGTGCAGCGGGACTTACCCCCGTCAATATGGATCCACGCCCCGTACCTATCCGCCAACTCCCTCAACCTCCTCATCTCGTCGAAGCCGCCCGTTGCAAACCGACCGGTGTTCACTTCGCCGGCACTCACGGCAATGATGCTCGCCACGCCCTGCCTGCCCAGGTGCTTCTCCACGGCGCCCAGGTCCAGCCTCCACGGCTCATCGGTTTTCGCAGGTAGCTCCTTAACGCTGGCTCTGCCCAGCCCGACCACGCTCGCCGCCTTGGACAGCGAACTGTGACCCATACTCGTCAGCACCTGGATCTCCTTCACGCCCGCCGCCAAGCATGCGCCCAGGAGGCCCTCCTCGCCAACCTTGCCCCCTCGTTTCTCAATGACCGCCTCCCTCCCGCAAGCGAGACCGAGAATGTTGCTTGCCGTGGCCCCCGTCGTGAAGGTTCTCCCCTTCCAAACCTCACCCTCTCCGCTATTGCCGTCCTCGATGCCCAGCACGTCGGCAAGCATCCGCAACGCGACACTTTCCAGCTCCGTCGCCACCGTCTGCGAGGGCAGATGCACCTGCACGTTCTGGTCCAGCGCCGAGACGACGTTGTCCGCCGCCTCGGCCACGGGCAGCGACCCGCCGGTGACAAAGCCGTAGTACCGCCCGCTCCGCGCCTGACCGTTGAGGCCCGGGACGATCTCGTCGACGATGTGAGAGAGCGTGGCCTCGGCCCCCAGTGGGAAGAGGTACCCCTCCTCGCCGGGCCGCGGGAGGGAGGCCGAAGCGTTGGCGAGAGCCGTTGCGGGCGGCAGCGTGGGAGCGTCGTCCCCCTCGGGGAGGGCGGCGCGGAGACGGGCGTGGAAGTCGGGGGTCGCCATTACTTGCCGGAGGGTCGGTTGAATTTGGATGGAGGGGGGGGGGGGGCGAGTTTCGCTGTCCAAGGTATTGCGGCGCGGTGAGCGATGCTTCAGAAAGCCGAACACGGAGGGGGAGGCGCGCTGCCTACCTGCGACGGGAGGAAACTTCTTTGGCGTTCTCTTTCGCGGAGCCCCGGGGTTTGAAGGTACCCTCCCGGGGTTTGAGTTTCGGTTGACGGCCATCATCATCGGCGGTTCGAAACATTCCCCGCGGAGGTGGGGGGGGATCGCAGGATCCGATCCCGGTCTAGTGCGCGGCCGACTTGCCCGATAAAAGGGGGGGGGGGCGGATGTCCTTCGCGGGCAATCCTACTAGTCATAAAATAAACGTCAAAATTATTAATCAAAGTAGGTTCACAATTATCAGAGAGAAACAAACAAGACGGGGAAAAATATTTCTATATTCGGATGGCACATAAAGTGTAACCCAAAGAGGGGGTTAATTTCTCTATAGAAAGAAACCTCGCTATCTTTGTGGGCGCTCTCCAACATCAAGGCACGCGAGTCCTAGCAGCGTTCCCTGAAATGACATTATCTTACAGTCGAAGTAAGAGCAGGTATGTACAGCAAAAATTATGGCCCAGCACTGCCGCCGGGCTTACATGTGCCTCGCGCTCAGACTGGCAAACGCGTCCGGGCTGTGACGACCGTTTGTCCATTGCATGTCTGTAAATGCCATGCTCTCCCGGCTGACGCCCAGCTTGCGTGGTCCAACCTCCGTTCCGATTCCTTGGACCGGGGCCACGACGGGTGATGTGGTTCCGTTTGCCAAAAAGGGATTCTTGCTCCCTGCCGTCTGCGTCGACGCATTTGTGTCGTGGCTCAGATACTGGGGCGCTGTGGTGTCCGCCTGCGCCGCTTCCTGTGTTTGGGTCTGGCCGGCGAAAGGTTTAGGAGCCAATTGCGGGTAGTTGTACAAGGCCAAGATTGAAGCCTTGTCCGGCCGCTGGGGCTGCTGAAGCTGCTGGTACATTGGCTGAGGAGCCGGGGTTTGGTATTGTTGCTGGCCCGTTTCTTGCTGCTGGAAAGGCTGTCCCTGTTGCTGGAACTGTTGGTGGCCCTGGGATTGGAACTGCTGTTGACCCTGCTGATGGAACGGGTTCTGCTCCGGTTGCTGGAAGGGATGCTGGTCGTGCTGAAACAACTGCTGCTGCTGCATTTGCTGCTGGGCTTGCGGCTGCGGGCCCATCTGCGCGAAAAACGGATTGCTGTTCTGCGGTGACATCGTCTGCGGCGAGTTGGTGTAGAAGTTTGTTTGCGATTGCTCGGGTATTTGGCCCAGCACGGGGGACTGTATCCGCGTTGGAGATCGCGTGAAGGGATTGTTGGCAAACGGGCCTGATGCCGAAGCAGTGTTGATCCCAAGGCTCTGTTGCTGCTGAGGCTGCATCTGATTCGTAAGGAACGGGTTGTAGCCTGTCATCTGCGGCTGCATTGGTTGAGGATGCGTCATATTACTATTAAAGCTCATGGAATGGTTGTAATTCTGCTGCTGCTGCTGCGGCACCGGGGGCGTCATCGACTGCTGATACATCTGCTGAGGCTGCGCGAATGGTTGCGAAGCTGGGAGACCGCCAGTGTGGTGGGGGAACAGGGGCTGAGCGGGTGCCAGGGACATGTTGGCGAAGGCCTGGTCGATGTCTTGCTGCTGCTGCGTTGGCGCTCCGAAGGGGTTGTTCGCGTACGGGTTCTTGTTCTGTAGCGTGCCTGTCGACTGAGAAGATTGTGGCTGCGGCGGCAACATATCATAGGGGTTGTTGCTAGAGGCGGTCGATGGGGACTGAGCATGGTCACTGAATGTTTGCTGTGCGGTAGATAGACCGCTCGACGTCGACAGGTTTGCATGCGAGCGCGTCGCGCGCAACGAGCTGTCACGACGTCCAGTCAATGACGGCGACCTCCTGTCGCTCTCCCCCAAGCGTACCAAGGTCTCGATGGCTCGCTCCAAGTTACCGCTGACTCCCTTTAGCACCATTGCGTTTCGCTGGTCGTCAGAAAACCCCATGTCCCGCAAGCTCGCCAGTTTCTTTTCCGTGTCTTCCTGCTCGTAGGAAACACTGGCGCCGAATACCTTGGAGGGTTTGTTTGGCAGATCGTTGGGGGGAGGGCTTCCGGGAACGTTCATGGGGCTTGGCGTGCTGCGCAACGACGAATCCTTTCTCAAGCGAGACGACAGGGGGAAAATCGACGAAGCGGATCTGAAGCCAAACTTGCCTCCCGATTTCGGCGGTAGCGGTGGCGGGACACCCTCGTCAGAGAGAGCCGAGTGGTGCTTCCTCACAGGAGCAGGGTTATTGTTGACGTATTTGGTACGAATAAAGCGTTCCATGGCGGAGTCGGCTTCGTCGGCATCGATGGGAACGGGTGGCTTTTTGCTGTCTGGGTTGTAGATCTGGTTGGATCTGACATTGCCGACCTTTTTCATGTTCTACAGCGCCAGGTTGGTTAGAGGCGAGGCTGTCTCGAAGTTCACAGGAACGCATTGATTGGAACGAACCTCGACTTGCTCGTTAGACCAGCTGTCCATGCTCAAGGATTTCACCTTGGAGACGTGGGTGCCCAATTTCCGATGGATAGCAGCACATCTCATGCAAAGAAACACACCCAGCTGCATTCCCCTGTCAGTATTGCTCGTGTGGTCCGGCGTCCTACTCGACTCGACATGGCCTCGATAGGGCGGAATGGGGGACAAAGACGCTTACACTCCATGAGGCCCATGCTGCGAGCTACTGTCAGTCCTGGGTCAAGGTCTGGGCGGGACAGGACGGCTGGGAGGGCTTACCTGGGTTCCGTGCCTGACAGTCGGCGCAGAAGTTATTTCCCGGGACGGACTGGACCAGATCGTGGAGGACCTTTTCATTACGCGCCTGCTGGCGCTTGCTCAAGACACCCGCCATAATGGAGTAGGATGTGATGTGCAGCGGTCGACGTTGGCGACAAGCAGTTGGTGGGCGCGGTTCGGCGTGGTTCGGCAGGAGGCAGTTTGGGTTGGACAAGGCGCGGTGCGGCTCTTGTCGGATCGGGAGGCAGATCGAGGGGTCCCTCGGGGCCAACCAGGGGCAGCGGGGGAGAACTAGGCGGGATCGGAAAAGGTCGTGGTTAAGGAACAAGATGCAGGCAGCATGGGAAAATCAACTATGCACTGGAGAAGAGGAAGGCCGATGTCGAAGGTGGAAAGGGAAGCACGGCGACAACCATGGCCTCAATAATGCGTCGGGGAGGTTGTGGTAGCGAGCGGTGTCGGAGTCTGAGACGGCACGGCGGCGAGCCAGTCTACATGCGAGAGGAGGCGCAAAGAATGTCTCGTTGTCCAAGTTTTGTTGCAATAGTTCGGATGGTTTTGGCGTGGGATGTATGGATAGCAACAAAAGAATGCGTCAGTAATGAAAGACGGCGCTCCACCCGTGGTGCCCAAAGTGTTTTGGCGGAGGGTTTGTGGTTGTGGTCATTGGAGGGGGGAGGCAGGATACCTAGGTACCTAGCGCGCGACTCAGGAAAAAAAGGGGATGATCGACTTCCCATAAGCAGGACAGGTACCTGGAAGATAGGTAGATGGCTAGGTACCTACCTACCTACCTAGGTATTATTATCCTGGCTCCCCGGAGTACCTATGCAGCAGTGCAAGCAGCAAGAGGGGAAGTTGTTAGTGGAGTCGGGCCTCTAGCCAAAAGGGGATAGTGATGATGGTCGTGGAGCACAGGCGATGGGTCTGGCCATGACGAGAAAACGACATTGCATGGAAAAGCAAGCCAGAATCCAAGCCAGAATCAAAGCCCCAAGGGATCCCGGGTCAGCACTGGACTGGATTGGACCGGGAGTGGCAGGGGATGGGCAACACGCGTGGAAGTGGGCGTGGAAGTGGATTACTGTACGGAGGAAACATTCACGCTACCTACCTAGGTAGATACCTAGGTACCTGGTTTACGAAGTATACGTACGGATATGAGGAGCGACTGTTCCATCGTCATTTCCCTCCCGTCCCATCCACTAATGCCTAACATGAAGAGGCAGGTAGGTACGTGTAGGTACGGAGTATTGTACTACCAATAGTCAGTCTGAAGAGTGAAGACCTCGAGAGGACAGGGCCCGACGTAATTCCGTTTGCCGCGTTGGACCGGGTGCTGCCGAGATGATTCTTGATCATAGGGTAGGTAGGTAGGGGTAGGTGGGCAACCAACCTCTCTTACATAATACCAGGTACGTATAGCTACTTCGTACTTGGTCTGGAATCTGGCATCGCTCAGTACCGGCCATCGTGCACTCGAGGTACTCGGCGAGCATTGCCCGTCATGGACGTTGCGAGCATTGATTGATTGCCTCTTTGCTGCTGCCCCTACTGTCCGCAAGCTGTCTGTCACTTGTCAGTTCGAGTTGTAGCTCCCGGTCCCGAGGCTGTGGTACAGCCAGATCGAAGCAATCGTTTCAACTCCTGCACCCCCGTCTCGCTCGTGCAATCGGTTCACAACGCAACGGGCAGGCAAGTCAGGCAAGGTAGCTCAGTTCGTCGGGCTATATGACATAAGCTGCTTGCTGTTCTGTCTGACCCCATCCCATCATCCTGACTGACACCTGGCAGTCTACTATACTTCAACTTTGCTCTCTTGCCGAACCCTTTCTTATGCCCTTTTCGTCCCTCTGATCAGCCATTCGGCATCCGGAGTCGCCGGATGGGCCACGTCAATTCCGGCGGGTATCTCATGGGCGAATCGCTCGCAGCTCCTTCTGCTAAGGAGAAACAGGTCGTGAGAGACGCATCCGCGACTGCCGACTTTTCTTTTTGGTTTATTTTTACTGTTACCGTTGTTCTCGTGGCACGCGGCGCGGTTCGGCATCTTTCCTGCAATGATTTCAACGCTTTATGCCTGCGCAACATGACGTGGAAACCCGTATACCGCGTACATAATATAGATGTATCATTCTCCTGGTCTGGTCTGATCTGGTCTGCTCCATTCATACGTGCTTCTCTACACTCTCCGGAATATCCGGAATCCGGTATACTGTTGGTGTTGGTGTTGCGTCCCACCCTTGGGCGGACTCTCAAATCACAAGCCTAGGGACACCGGCATTCCGTGCGAGCGTGTGATGCGACTCTTCTCGGGTCTCGGCTGACGGGGGGGGGGGCCACGCAGGTCATCGTATAGCAGGCACATCTTACGACATCGATAAAGACAGGTCGAATGTGGATAAGCTTAATTCACCCTATTCGTCAGGCACGAATGCTCAGAAGTTTACTGAGGATGAGGTAGATGCGTCTTTCCGTTCCGTCTGTCTGATACTGTGGCTATCGACAGGATGGAAACAGCCCAGCCTCACTGATAACCTCGACTACTACCTAGGTATGCTCGACTACTACCTAGGTATGCTCGACTACTACCTAGGCTGCTAGGTATGCTGGTCGACCCGTGCTCACGCCCGCGCCCGCACCCGCACCCGTCCGTGGCTTACCGCATCTCGCACAGCCCGCCTGGCGACGTTTTGTCGCAGTCCGCGTCGGCGTCTCCACTTTAACCCCCCCCTAGGGCCAGCCAGTCGCTCCGCACCCTATACGCGTTCCCCCAATGACGTTGCGCCCCCCCCAAACAACTGTTCCGTCCATCCAGACAGACGTGTGTGGCTGTGTGTGTCCAAGAAAGACGTCCCACACTCCCTCTCCGTACCTACCTCGAACGAGTAAACTGCTACTGCAGCTCCCGACATATGTTTCTCCTCTACTCCGTAATCTCCCCTCGTACGCAAACACTCCGCCTCTCTCCCTCTCTCTTTCTCCCTCCCCTTCCCTCCCTTTCCCTATCTTTCCATTGAACCGTTTCCAAAGCTCGCCGCACTCCACATCATGGTCCTTTAATAGTGTTGGAACCTTCTCCGGAACCAAAACTCGTCCTGGACGATCAGCTCCGAACCTCTGCCCCCCCCCCCCCTTTCTCACCGACAGCTCGAGCTCCGAACCCAACCCGCAAAAATGGCGGGCATTGAGCAATTGGAGATCCACAGCAAGGTACACGAGTCGTCGCTTGCCCGGCATTCCTTTCTATCGCCCTGTCCGCGCTGAAGACATCTCCCTTGCTAACAACGTGCTCGCAAAAGTCCTACATCGTACGATGGGTCAGAGTGGATGAGGGCCATACCATTTCCTGGAGTGTTCAACCACACAAGAAGTCCATGTGCGTATCACTCTTTTCTCCTTTCCCCCTCCCTCGCCTCCTCCGATTAAGCCACTTGCTGACCACTCGCTCCCCGAGCCAGTAACTTTGGTGTTGTGAAGCACCCCGGGACAGGCCCCGCCGGCCTCATCACGAACCACAACGACGATGCTGCGACGCCAGGTTCTTTTACCTCTGGCGTTGCCGAACCCAAGAAATCTTTTGCCAGGCGGGACTCGAGCACGGCCCAAGAGCAGCTCGGCAACAAGGGCTTTATCCCTATAACATGGCATGGGAAATGCGATGCCGACAAGGTGTCGATGGGCACTTGGGATGTGCCGCCGGGCCAGGGCGGCATGTACGGCTTGGTCTTCGACAACACCTTTTCCAAGCAGATCTCCAAGACAGCCACCTTTGTTCTACTTACCTACCCGACCGGTGCACCGCCCCAGACCACCGCTCAAACCTTCCCGAACCTCCAAGCCGGATCGAATGCGACCGCCAGCAAAACTAGCTTGCCCCAGATGGCCGCCCTCACCTCTGCCTCCCAAGACAGCTTTCACAGCCACGTGGCGCCAGCAGGCCGCCCGACCTCAGCCTCGGGTCGCAGTGACGGAAACGCCAACTACCACACCGGAATTCTGCACAAGAGAAGGAGAAAGAAGGGCCAGGGTTACGCGCGCAGGTTCTTCTCGCTAGACTATTCGTCCTGCACACTTTCCTACTACTACAACCGCAATTCGTCCGCCCTCCGCGGTGCGATACCTCTCAGCCTCGCCGCCATCGCCGCCGATGAGCGCCGCCGGGAAATCAACATCGACTCGGGCGCTGAGATCTGGCATCTGCGGGCGTCCAATGCCAAGGATTTCAACGATTGGGCCAAGGCCTTGGAGAAGGCGAGCCGCGCCGCGAGAGGCGTGGAAGAGCAGAAGCCCAACAACAGCAGAGCAGCCCCCTTGAGGGTCAGCACCACACATTTGAAGCCAGCGCAGTCGAACCCGGACGAGGATCGCGAATGGCAGCAGGTCGAAACTCTCGTCAGCCGAATGGTTGGCACCAGGGACGCACTCCGTCGCTTGGTAAAGGACATGTCCACCCCCCAGAGACCCGTCAGCATGGCCGCGTCCAACTTCCTATCGCCGGGCGGCACGGGGGGCGAAGATCATGACGGCTATTTTACACCCCCCACCACTACGGAGCAGTCGCAGCGACGACCTTTCTGGAAGCGCAAGTCGAGCAATGCCACTCCTACAGCATCCACGGCTCAAGCCGCTGCCGCGGCCGCGGCCGCCCTCGCCGTTGCGTCTTCGACTTCCGTGACGACAACCACGAGCGCCAATGGCCCACACCACTCGAAGCAGAAGTCATCCCACGAAGAGAAGAGCACCCAGGAGCACTGCGCAGCCGTCCTTAATGACCTCGACTCGGTTGTGTCCGAGTTCACGACCCTGATTGCCAACAGCAAACGCCGTCGTACACCCGCTCCCCTGTCGGCTGCACCCTCACGGCGGAGCATGGAAACGGTGTCAACAGAAGAGTTCTTCGATGCCGAAGCCGGTGAAACAAACTCGCAGATCGTTAGGATTGCTCAGAGCGAGGATGAGAGCCCAGACTCGGAAGCTGATGAACACCTGAGTGACTCATCTTCAATCTCGTCGGCTCAAGAGGACGACGCTTTCGTCTCAGACGGTACAAATTGTTATCCTGCGAAGCCGAAGAGCTTGGCTCCGCTGCCAGTGGATATCTCGGTCGACAGACGAACCAAGATCCCCCCGGCCTTGGTACAGCCTCCGAGTCTGATTGCATTCGTGCGGAAGAACGTGGGCAAGGATCTTAGCACTATCAGCATGCCCGTGTCCGCGAACGAACCCATCTCGCTCCTGCAGCGCGTTGCCGAACAACTGGAATACGCTCAGCTCCTCGATGAAGCTGTCCGGCAGAAAGAAGCCAAGGACCGCCTTCTTTACGTCACAGCATTCGCAGTGTCGCAGTTCAGCACCGGTCGCGCAAAAGAGCGCGCTATTCGCAAGCCTTTCAACCCTCTTCTAGGCGAGACTTACGAGATGCTGCGGACAGAACAGGAGGTTCCCGGAGGATTCCGCCTACTTGTGGAAAAGGTCTCTCACCGCCCCGTCAGACTCGCCATGCAGGCCGACTCGGCGAACTGGTCTTTTAGTCAGTCCCCGGCGCCATCGCAGAAGTTCTGGGGCAAGAGCGCCGAAATCACAACGGAAGGCCGCGTTCGTATTGCTCTTCGACTTCCGGACGGGACGGATGAGCTGTACTCGTGGACGCACGCGACGATGTTTCTGCGCAACGTGGTGATGGGCGAGAAGTATGTCGAGCCAGTCGGCGTAATGCAGATCTGCAACGACTCGACCGGCGCCAAGGCTTCTGTCGAGTTCCGAAGCAAGGGGATGTTTGGCGGCCGAGGTGAGGATGTCCAGGTGGAGACGTACGGACCAGACGGAGTACACACGGGCAGCAGCCTATCCGGTACATGGACCGGCGGTCTTCGCATTGTTCAAGCCGGAAAGGGAGCTGGTCAAGAGATCTGGCACGTCGGAAAGCTTGTCGAGAACGCTGCCAACACGTACGGAATGACCATGTTTGCAGCTGGTCTCAACGAGATCACCGAGATCGAGAAGGGCAGGCTGCCACCGACCGACAGTCGACTTAGACCGGACCAGCGACTGGCAGAGCAGGGCGATCTTGACCAGGCCGAGGAATGGAAGGTCAAGCTGGAAGAGGCGCAGCGAGCCCGGCGTCGTGTGCTCGAAGAAAGGGGCGAGGAGCACAAGCCTAAATGGTTTGTCAAGGCCGGCGAGGGCCCGGAGGGCGAGGAAGTGTGGAAGATGAGAACGGGCAAGGACTCGTACTGGGAGGAGAGATGCAAGGGCACATGGAGCGGGTTGGAGGATATTTTTGCCGAATAGCAAGATGGTGTCTAATAGAAGGCTAATCTGTCAGACTTCTTTGGCGGGACACTTCTCATTTCTTCTGGATCACAACGGTCATGCTTCAAAGCCGCCGACAACAGGATGTTGGCAAGCCAAGACAGGACAGGAAAAGACAGAACCGATTACTGCGGCATGTTCAATCTCATGTGTTAGCAACCGACTTGGCTGTTTCCTTCTCTATCTAATCCGTCCTGCGGTCGAGTGCGATCTCCAGGCGCACTCGTCACTCGTAACGGCTGTCGTAGTTGGTCGGTTCCCCGTGCCTTGTACCGCGGAGAGGCCGCGGGAAAGCATTTGAAGGGATCACCCCGTCAGAGATGCCGAGCATAGTCCTGCTGCTTCCCCGTTGCAGAAACTGTGCGGGCGCCTCACGAGGGCGAAAGCGGAAAGGGGGCCCGCGATATCGTAGTCATCCCTCGGGAAT